AGTTCAGAACCTTTTGTCTTCTCGTCTGCTGTAAGAAAGACCTAAAAATTAGAATTTTGCCTTTGGTTCTGTGTGGTTGTGAAACTTGGTCTGTGACATTAAGGGAGGAACGTAGACTGAGGGTGTTCCAGAACAGGGTGTTGAGAATATTTGGACCGAAGAGGGATGAAGTGACAGGAGGTTGGAGAAGACTGCGTAATGAGGAGCTTTATAACTTGTACTCTTCTCCAAGTATAATTAGAACAATCAAGTCAAGAAGGATGAGATGGGCAGGGCATATAGCACGAATTGGGGAGAAGAGGAATGTATGTTATGTGGATATTGGTGGGAAAACCAGGAGGAAAAGACCAAGACGTAGGTGGCTGAACAATATTAAAATTGGTTTTAGAAAGATAGGAATGAATTGATCGGGCTCAGGATATGAACCAGTGGAGGGCTGTTGTGAACACGTTCGGGTTCCATAAAATGCTTTGAAGTTCTTGAGTAGCTGCACAACTGACGGCTTCTCAAGAAGGACTCAGCTGCTTGAGTGATGATTAGCCGGGATGGCTCAGTCGGTATAGCGACTGGTTACGGGCTGGACGACCGAGGGGTTGGAGTTCGAATCCCGATCTGGTCAAGAACTTTCTCCACGTCGTCGAGAACAACTCTGAAGCTCACCCAACCTCCTATCCAACGGATACCGGGGGCTCTTTCCCCGGGGATAAATGGGACGGGGCGTGAAACTGACCACTCACCTCCAACTAATGCCGAGGTCAAGAAAATGTGGCTCTATACATCCGCTCTCCCATACGCCTTCATGGTGTGGTGCTTAATTACCCGTAATTAAGCGCAGGGCAGCTTTACATATACTTTTGTTAAGAATATTACGTATCTCGTGGCGGCTGATTCCCAAACAGTCAGGTTGCTTGAACAGGGCGTAGGAGTAGGGGAAACTTCGTACAGAATCAGACGCGTCCAACAGTTCCTTTGTTGTTGCGTATGTAGTGTTCGGTGCGGCGGTGACGTCTTTACCGAGCCGTTGCGTAGGAAACGACACAGGGATACACATACAGAGACAAACCAATGGGCGGGATTTATGGAGTGAGCCGTTGAGATGAGCTCAAGAACCATGATGTACATAACCAAGTTTCGTAAAGGCTGCTACATCCATTTACACGCACAGGCTGCACGATGATAACATAAGCTTAATTTTATTTCTTGAAACGAAGGAAAGTGAGCTAATAAGAATTAAATGTATGTAAAAGTAAAAGTAAGATTATAAATGCAAAGTAGACTTAAGAATACTGATCAGAGTGGCCGCGTGGTCTAAGGCATGGACTGTCTTCACCCGTTCGAACCCTGGAATCGTGGGTTTGTACCCCACTCGAGGCATAGATGTCTGTGTGCGTTTATTCTGTTTCTGTTGTTCTATGTGTAGGTAGCGGCCTTACGACGAGCTGATCCCCCGTTCAAGGAGTCCTACGTACTGTGTAGAAGATTAAGAACTTCAAAAAGCTGCCAAGGTCCACAAGGGCTGTAAACCCATAGCTAGGTAGGTAGGTAGGTAGGTATGTGGGTGGGTAGGTAGGTAGGTTGAAGGAAAGTTACCCCTGTGCTTAAGTACTTAAGCACTACGCCATGAAGACGTAGGGAGAAGTGAAGGTATAGATCCACGTTTTCTTCACCTCGGCACTGGTTGGAGGTGAGTGGTCAACTTCATGCCCCGGCCGCTCTACCCCCCGGGTGAAAGAGCCCCCGGTACCCATTGGATAGGAGGCTGGGTGGGCCCCAAAGCCGGTCTGGACGCCGTGGGGAAAAGTTTCCTGCCTCTGCCGAGAAGCGAACCTCTGTTCTCCTAAACGTATCCTATCGCTATACCTACTGAGCTACGCCGGCGCCACATTCTGTTGGAAGCAAGGTGTGCCATAGAGACGAAGGCACTTATGTAATGGTTAGAAAGTAACTAGGTTCTATTTTCATATGCCGGTGGAAACGCACACACAGAGGAATGTGTTCACAAGGTGTGGCATACTGTAGTTCTTGTGGTACATCTGTGTACAAGCTGTCCCTGTGCTTAACTAATTAAGCGCTATTCCATGAAGGCGTATGGGAGAGTGGATGTATAGATCCGCATATTCCTGCTCTCGGCACTGGTTTCAGGTGAGTGATCATCTTCACGCTCCGGCCGCATTAAGTCAGGAGAAAATTTCTCTGGTACCTATTGGATAGGTGTGGGCTCCAGAACCGGTATGGATAAAGTGGAGAAGTGAAAATTGACCTTACCGGGACTCAAACTCGAACCCCCTCGGTCGTCGATCCCCGAAGCCAGTCCCTTACCGACTGATTTACCCCAACTCCTACATACGCCCATATGAATGAGCGACATACTCTACGTGACGCATATGCCGATTGCTAGAAAACAGCTCGGTAAACACCTTCCCTAAGTTACGGTCTCAACAATAGGACATCCATTGCTAGGTAACAGGCCAATAAACACGCATCTTGACAACAGAAGACGGTGTTTTGCGTGGGGTCCGTGCCGATGAATTATAAGAGGGCACAGTCAGAGGATTGAGGGAGTACGAGGGAGTACAACGGAATAGTGGAGTTCAGTTCAGTTGGAAGTCAGAATAGTTCCCGTGCAGTGTCCAGTCGGAAGAAGGTGACAGTGTGTCAGATAGTGATTTGTGAACTCTTGTAACCAGTTGTGTAAAGGTCCAATAAATTTGATCATCAAATCCAAAGCCCGTTATTATTAGTCACGAAAACCCCGGTTACGTGACAATACATTTGGAGCCGAATATTAGCAGGAATTTCCTAAATGTTTCCTACTGCTTAACTTCACGACTGTAATCTCTTGATTTGTAACGGCTCTTCCCAAATAAGTCATGCAAACAGTGATGACATATGTAGGTACCCGTATGTGACGGCTTTGTACCGTGTTTTACACCCTGATGTCGATATAAATTACCGGGCGTTTATCCTCCACGAAGCAGTGCTGCCTCTATCTTTGGGGTCGAAATTTATAGTCATCCTGAAGATAGAGGCGGTACACCCTTCCGAAACATCAATATCACAAGCCATACATCCACATGGCGCAGAATCAACGCGTCAACAGTCACCAAACCGAGAAAGCTTTTAAGATGAGTGAAAGGGTTTCCATTTCAGGTCGATGTCCGTCTGTCCGTGCGCAGAAAGCAGGAACTGCAGCAGTCACTGTTTCAAGGTAATTACAATTAACAAATCCGACTTTGTTACGTGTGGATTGTCTTACGAGACAATGGAACATGTCTCCCTTATTCTTTTGTCTTTGCAATCTGAAACGAAGACACAGTTATACACAATGGGCGAGTCTTACAGAACCCGTTGTAACGTATTTTAAGCTCGCAATTAGCGACATAATAACGTAAGGTGATTATTCTAATGTATTCCTGGAACATGAAGAGAAGTCATTGTGTCAGTATTATAATCCTTTCTATGAAGATTAATTACAGCGCTATCGCAAATCTCCTCGCACTACGAATCACCACAGCACCCACTAGGCCTTTTCCAGCTGGTGTGTGCCAGTCGTTCCCTGACAACGGTTTTAACGATGGAGATTCTTCAGCTTCCCGCTCTCAGGTCCTCTTGTCACAGCCGCCCGTGCAGAAATCAGCTGTCAACTGACCTGGTTGCCCCAGTTCTCTTATTTATGAACACTTTGCACTGACCGAATAAAAAACACATTTTCCAGCAATAACTGTTATTGTAGAGGCATGTTTTATCCCGGTAGCGTAGTTGGTTGAAGCACTGTGTAGGAAACCGTAAGGTCACGAATTCGATTCTCGATGAGGTCATTGATTTTTTTTTCTTCCAATTGACCTAATCCTTCCAGCCGCACTACGGTCCTGGGGTCGACTAAGCCTCAAGCAGAAATGAGTACCAACAATCTTTCTGCGGAGTAAATTGTGGTCGGTGCATAAGGCTGACAGCATTACTGCCATCTGTGAACCAATTGTCTAGAAAATGTGGTAGCCTCGACGTCTCAGAACCCTATGGACCTCCACGGCCTCTTACAGGAATAGCTTTACCCTTTTTGAAGGTTGCCTACACATGGTATATCTTACCCTGGCCTACATACTGGTCTGACAATATGCTTACTTGAAACATATGCAGTAGAAATCAACGTGACTAAATAAAAAGGGACAAGGGACTCGAACCAGTTTCTTTGACACTTCTCGTGCTTGCAACGCGCTTGATATATTCGTTTTTTTTTTTTGCTTCGCAGCATGATTATAAAACAGAACTAGAATTTGTAATACAATTACAGTTATCTTTGCAGTAATTTCATTTGTTGCTAAAAATATATTTAAAGGGTGGAAGTATCACTTCTGAAACTTCGCGCAAATGTCTTTTATTTCATATCGGAGCCGGGATAGATCAGTCTGTATGCTGAGGGCTGCGGGTAGGACGGCCGTGGTTCTATTCCTGATAGGAATTTGATTAAACACATACAAAATGTTGCCTTTCTTCTACCTTTTATCTTTATATTTTATATAATCATTGTACTCTTCAGTGGCCGGTTGTGGACTATACAACGCAGTTGGCGAACACTCGCGGCTCACAGTTTGAGAACCACCGGAAAAAACCACGGATCAGCCAAATGGTCACAGAATCACCCTTACACAAGTCGGAATGTTTGCTATAAGCCGTCTGCTTCTTCCTTTACGCGTATTTATATTTCCACCCTACATTACACACAGATTTCACTTTTAACTCTACTAATTTAAATGAGTTACGAAGACATTGCCACATGGTGAAGATTGTTTCTTTATAATCATGAGCTTCTCTCGCTTACTGTTTGCAGTAATCACTGACCATGACGTGTTTTGCATCCCAGTTCCTTCCAAAAGAAGAAAGAGCCAATGACGTCACACTTTCTCACGCCCAATGACAATGCACCTGAAGTAAAACGCATCAAGCAACCAATGATAGTCCTGCTTTCAAGACGTGAAACTTTCAGAAAAAACAAGGGCTCGGCACGCCAGTTGGCTTAGTACGTCGCGGGTTGTCTATGTGGACGTTTGGTGGCTAGCGAGCGGATCTAAGTCTCCCAAGGGCAACTAGAACTGTGACAGAAGAAAGTCGACAATGAAGGCAGACGTGTGTACGTTCGCATTTGTTACCATTCTGGCTACAGGTGAGGCAACACACACCCCATTTTGTTGTTCTCTGAATTGCACTGAAACACGACGGAAATATGAAGCTATTAAAAGAGATATAACGCAGCGTAGTTTTGTTGGAAGTCAAATAGAGTGAACCCTCGCTACTAGGGGGGGAGTCATCCGGATTAGCGAAGCAAAATGTACAAATGAGTGGAAAATTTAATGGTGTTAATTAGTGCCCATGGAAATATATAAAAATATCACTTTAGGGCCTTTATTTAAAATCTATAAAAAGACGGTACATTTATTCATCGATAGAAGACTCAGATGTTCATGTAAGATTTGAGGTTTTCACGGCGGTGACTATGAAGAAAGCAGTCTTCTGGGATGTGGCACCGTGTAGATTCGGTGGT